GAATGAAAACTGTAATAAATATAATATTAAAAAAATAAGTTGTAGAATATGAATTTGCAAATCTGACATTATATGAAATAATATAATTTGATAAAAGTACTGATTATTATTTTTAAATTGCAAAAAGAAATAAACACACACATAATTATAATAAAACAAACACAGAATCAAACATACATACACAATACGTAATCAGATTACAGAACCATAGATAAGATAGAAATGTAATATTTGTATTAATTAGCTTAACTTATGTATTAAAAACAGATTCATTTGACATACTAAACCTTGTAATTATTACTAAAAAAAGTGATAAACATAGAATAAATTTACCTAAAAATCTTTGACTATAATGCTTACTCATATGTGCATTATCCTCTTTGAAACACTGAAATCACTTTTTGCTATTCAACAATAACACTGGATTCACAATAACTGGGATTTAGATCCATAAAGAAGAAAACAGAATACAGTCAAAAGTCTTTAATCCGGACTCGTCGGGACTTCGGCGATTTCGGATTATCGATTTTTCCGGATTATAGATCATCAGTTTAAATCTGGTAAGATGGCATGCAGAAATTATAAAATTAAAAATATGAAACCGTAATTTATAAAATAATAAGCTATTATGATCTAAAGGGTATCAAAATTTACAAAAAAAGAAGCTTAATATTATTTGTTTACTTTATTAAACATTTCTTTCAACATGCGCATGCGTAAAGCATACATTACGCATAGTCGAAATTAGAAAATTGCAACCAGAAAAACTATTTGATGTGTATTCGTGATATTTATAATGACGAGGAATTTTGATTTAAATCATATCAAAGACAGAGTAGCATCGAGATGAAATACTACATTTAGTAAGGAATTATAAACCGAATAAAATAAAAACATCTGCCCCTGAAGATGAAGGATTAGTGCTGACAAATCAACTTCCAGTTCATTGCGCGCCGCGACGTTGCCCCCCCTTCCCCCGCAGAGCAGCGTGAAATTGATAAACAGATTTCGGAACGGTTAGATAAAGAAAGGATATGCCTTTATCCATTTTTTGTAGCAATTCCACATTTTGTTTTGATGGACATCGAAACATACTTTCGTTTTTGTAGATCCTTTGGGAGCTCCAGCATCGGAAATTCTATTTGACATAATCGAAAGTTCAAGCTTACTTTTATAAAATTGCTCTTACAGTCTGCAAAAAATAATCAGCCAGATCCAATTCGAAGATTAAAGAACAACACAATCATCAACATTAACTGAAATAGATAATTAGATAATTTTAGCTTATACCGTCCGTTATACATTAAACGCGCACGCGAAAGCGTATTGCGCGCACGCGTAAACGCGGCGCATGCGCAGAAATATTTTAGCTTTGAGGTTCGGATTATAGATCATTCCGGATTATGGGTGCCCGAATTAACGACTTCTGACTGTAATACTATTTAAAATCTATGTGGTCCTAATAATCTTAAGGACAGGAACTCAGGATTTCATAAACATATTTTGAAATCTAAAAGGTTTCTTTGGATATCTCATTTCATTCACTGGTTGTAAAAATATATTTATTTTGTACAGCAAAAGCACTTTTATATAAATCATTATCAAAATGACGTTGCAGGCATTTCAGGTAATAAAGTGTGATTTTTGAAAGAAGGAGCACAATTTCGTATGAGCAAGATTTATCATATTTTTCTGTTCCTGAGTAGTCTCATTGTACTAATTTCTTGTGATATTTTGCTATGTGATTAGCCTGGTAGTAATACCTCCCAGAGGCCACATGTTAGTAGGCGTTTATACTTTGGCAAATTTATTGTCATTCTTGAGAGATAGGCCACAAAAGAGCTTCAAACAGCTAAAAATTTGATATTTTCCCATTTTCGGGGTCATCATGATAATGATACCAAGATTATTGACAAGTGTTTCTGAAATGAAGTAAAAATGCCTCTTTCTTGGGTGAATAGTGTAATAATTTCCTCAGCCCTCAGTAAATAAAAAATTATAAACTTTAATTTTTTTAAGAAAATATATTAAAATAAAGTCTACTCACAGCTCCTATCTTTCTCAGTTGTATTTTTGGAAAATTTGAGCTGTTTCTTCCCTTACCCAATTTACATCCCTTATAATTTCTAGAAATTTGTTGAATTCATGAATATTTTGCTCCTTGCAATATTCGATGAAAATATAAGACTAAATGAAACTCAAAAATCTGTTTGCCAATTATATATGTTGGCAAGGAACATTTTACATGCCTCCATATGCTGTCTATTTTGTTTGTATAACATCCTGTATTTGATCAACAAAATTCAAACTATGATTTACTTTTAAGCACTCAAAACCTTCCCTACTTAAGCAATCATAGCTTTTCCATCTGAATAAAATTTGGTTTCCATCTTAATCCACTTCTTAATAACACCCAATAATGTGCTCTCACTTCTATCATGAACCAACAACAACTTGCTAGATTCGCTTAGCCCCAGTTTTATTCCCTCAGCATTTCATATGTTGAGAAAAACATTTCATCTATCCTCAACTTACTATTAGAAAACCATGACCCAAGATGAATTGACTTTCGAGTTCCACATCCTTGTCATAATTTTCCTACAAATCTACAAGAAGCCATCTGACTTTGGCACTTTAAATTTAATTTCAGAATTATATTTCTCACATACAAATTTCCCTTTTACTAAACCTGCATCCTTTAAAAAAAAATATAAGAACTGCTGCTCTTGACAAAAAGAAATAAGCTGTCTATTTGCTATCCCATATTCTCCTAAAATAATTTTTCCATTTGCAAACTAAAACTTTAAATTCCCCTCTAACACTCTGTGAAACTTCTCAACAACACTTAAAATTGGCGTCATCGTAAACAGACAATACACAAAATTCGAAATAAAATTAAATGAAAGAAATCAATACTACCAATTTACACCAAAAATGAAAAAAAAAAAAAAAAAAAAAAAAACAGCTCCTTCAATTTAAAACACGTGGAAATGTGACAGGGTTGTCAAAATGCAACATTCTAAAATTTGTGCCAAGCCAAAAAGTCAACAACAATGTCCTATACTCAAGCTGTACCAACCACGAAGAAATACATAATAGTGGCATCCACTTATTGAACATCATACAATAACCCCAATTTACTACCAAAAATTTTGTACTTGCATATTATCCCATTGACTGCTGAAATTCTAAAAAACACAGTTATCTATAATTGCCATGAAATCACACTACTTGGCCTGGCCAGTCGACGAGTAATACGTGAAGTACAGCATGTCCAAATCAAATATACCTATTCTGAACAGTCGCTAAAAAACAAAGTTTTAGCTCTATGAGAGCGATATTGGCCACACATGGGAGTTGAATTCATAGAATTTGGCAAAAATTTTTTTTTTCTCGTGTCTGACACACCTGCGCTTTTGCTGAGCTGACAAACAGAAAAATGGCATCACTGTACGAGAAGGCACAAATTTTTCTCTGGTATGTAGAATACAAATTCATAGTAAAAGTGCAATGAATACTTCAAACAGTTTATAAAAGAAATCCACCCCAGGCTAAGAGCATAAAAAAGTGGCACAAAATATTTCTCGAAACTGGAAGTGTACGGAAATGATCCGCATTCACATTCTGATTCACATGTGGAAGATGTTCGTCAAGCTTTCATTCGGAGCACTCGCCAATCAATCAGACAGACAGCTTCTGAATTATCAACTATTCATGATGTGCTGCATCGAAAACTGAGGATGCATGCAGATTATGCAGAAACTGCAACCAAATGATAGGCCACAGTGTGCAGAATTGGATGTGGAAATGCTATCTCACATAAAAAATGAACACAATTTTCTAAACCCCATCTTTTTTTCAGAGGAAGCTACATTTCATGTTAGCAACAACGTTAATAAGCACAAGTACAGAACTTGGGGCTCGAAAATCCCTATTCACTATACGAATTAGAATGGAGCAGCCTAAATTGCCTGGCCACTAAGATCTTCCGCTGTATCTCCTCTGGATTTCTTCTTTTGAGGCTACGTGAAAAACAAGTCTACTCAGTGAACATCCGTGATATTGAAGACCTTCGTGCCTCCATAACCATGGCTACTGCTATTGTGACTCTAGAAATACTACACCGAACATGGCTGGAACTGGACTACCAGCTGGACATACTCAGGTCTACTAAAATAGCTCACGTGGAATTGTACTGATTGTTTAATAAAAATGTTGTGAGTATTGGTATCTAATTTTACGTTTTTTTTATGCTTTTAAACTCTCTGTTAAGTAGAGAGACCTCTCCAAATTATATACATTTGATTCAGACACCCTGTACAAGAAAATAAACATAACACCATAGTCAAATAATTTATTAACGTAAATTCTTCAACAAAATAGAAAACTTGCATTTGGAAATACTGTCCGAGTATGTTTAGTAAGAAAATGATACTAAAGAGAAATACCTTTTCTAAAGTTACCGCTTTAAGAAATTTTAATGATAACACAAGTAAAAAGGCATTAAAAATTTAATTTTCAAATGTAACTGGTAACTTTTTAAATGGGGAGAAGTGCAGAATCACTCACTGCTTGGCACGTTTATAAGAATTGCATATACTCGGTATCCATGTACACATCGACCTATTTTCACTTAAAAAGTTAGAGAAAATTGACGAAATCCAATTCTTACTGTTGTAAAAAGCGCCAAACAAATAAGTGGGTGATTCTGCACTTTAGCCTTTAAATGTTAAAACCTGTCAGTTGCATAAACATTTTTTTTTTTTTTTTTTTTTTACTTTGCTCCAGACGTCAGCAAACGAAACCTTCCCAATCTTGTATTCTTTGCACAGCGTACAGCAAAAAAAAAAAAAAAAAAAAAAAAAAAAAAAGAGAAGGTGAACGTTATTCTCCGCAAAAATGTAAAGTATAATACGTCTTTCTGCCCTTTGTGGAAATAGTAGTGCATTTTACACATTTTATTATTTATTATTTAGTTTTTGCGAAGAGAACTTGAGGAGCAATACACGCTGCGTTATTCACTCCGTTACTTTATTTTTATAACCATCAAAAGAAGCGCTGACTTACTTTCGCTAATAACTTTAGCTTATGTAAGAAACCACGGGTAAACTATATACCTAAAGACAACATGTCATCTGTATGGAAAGCGCAAAAAATGAAAAATATTTCGTAAAAGTTGTCATACCTCGAAATTTCAAACTTTTCCTCGCTTCTCTCTGTAATTTCTATTATTTGTTTTAAAATGGGAAAATAAAAGTTCGCTGTAACTGCTGTTTTGCGCGATAAGATAAAGCAGACGAAATCTTATTAAATGCAAAAATATGAGTAATTTAGGTATCCTAGATGTAGAAGATGTAGTAAATTTTGCAGTAGATAAATATAATGAACGTTTTAATTCTTTTCCAACGGTATGTGGTTGTGGTCCTGGCAGAGTAAATCTGATAGGAGAACATACTGATTATAACGATGGTTTTGTACTTCCAATGGTAATTCCTTAATTTCATTATTTATATATGAAATCCTCGAATTTAAAACATATCAATAAGGATGTAATATTTGTTTAATACTTCTACAATGTCATTTATCGTACCAATAGAATTTGATGACATTTTGATATTTTTGAAATTATTCTTTGTTCTCTACCGGCTTAGAAATTTCTTTTATTAATAAACTTTTGTGTGCCCTCATAATTTAAAATGTGTAAATAATCAGAACAAAATTCACATTAGGAGGGGGGACACTCAGTGAGAAGAGCTTTATTAGAGCTCGACTATCCAGAAAACTCGGAAAGTGCTGAATAATTGAGCATGTAAAATATACAATTCATGTTAAAAAAGCTCAGATAAATGGAAGAAAAAATTTCCCATCTAGAAATATGAAAACGGTATCTTATTTGTTATCAAACTAAAAAATAAAAGCTTATATTTATACAAATTTTAGGGAAAAAATTTGCCAGTCTATTTTTTAGTCCTTAAACATATAAAGGTAAAATGTCTTATTCGATTATAAAGTACCCATTGACCATGAAAAATTGGCAGAGATGTTGCCAGTCATTTCAGTAGAAGATCAATAGAAAGAAATTACAGATATAGTATATAAAAAATCTAAATTATTTGTCATAATTTGTACTGTAGCATTGCCACTGTTTATCCCTTTTGAAATAAAATCACGCATTATTCCCATCAGTACACACTTTTCTTGATAGCAGTATTTCATAACTTTGAAAATATTCTCTACATACTATTCCATAGATCCCAACTTTTTTTTTTTTTAATTCAAGAGAAAACATATAAATAGCAGTGAAAAGGACAAGAACAGTTCATTGAGAATTATTTGGGCTTGCATAAAACGGAGGTGAAGATCGTATGATTGTGTTGTGATATGCTTATCCATTATTGGTGCTAAATTGCACTGTTTGGCCACAGTTTCCTATGCATACTATATAATGGTGTGAGAAGTCTCTTGTTTGCTCACTTTCTGGATGAGGGGATTTGCAAAATTATAAAATATCCCAGTTACTTGAGCTTTCCAGCTAGTTTAATATCAAATAATTAGGGTTTTACTGTATGAAGCATTTTCTCTATCACAGTCTGTTGCCAGAAAATCATCAGTCCAATCAAAATTTTTATATCAGTCTAATAGTCTCTGATAAGTTAATTCCATTTTTTTTTGTTTTTGTTTTTTTTCAAAAAAAATTAGTAAGAGATTTCTAAAAAATATCCCTAAGTGACAACAGTTGATTGGCAGTGAGCTAGAAATTTTTATAATAACAACCTGAGAAACCATAAGGCAGCACTTGCTCGCTGATCAAAAGTTGCCTATTTAAAAGGAATTTTAGTAGTGTTACTGTTTGTTGTTTATTTTAAATAAATTGTCTTGAATGAAATAATAAAGTGCTTAACTCCTTTCTTCCCGCTCTCTTTAAAATTACAGATTGAGGTTTTGCCCTCTATTTTTCATGTCCATGATATTTCTGGACTAGAGAAAATGCACCAAACAGGTTAAAAAGTTCTCTTCTTATATCTGGAAAAATTTTTATTTCTTATTATAGATACCAGATGGCAGTATCCTTGATTTCAAGCTAAAGAAAAAAAAAAAAAAATTCCCAAAATTAAAAATGAATATATTATATTGATCATACACTTATTTTTAAACAATTTTCTTTAATAAAAATATAGGCATTTTTTTTTACCATTTTGTTGAAAATTATGTGATCATTAAAGGGTTAAAAAACTTAAGTATTTCTTTATGTATATATTATACAAACTTTGCACTGTAAACATTGAATGAATTGTCTGTAAGCATCAGTAACTGTCAGTTTCTTGCCAAGGTTGAATCATATCCATTTCTCACCAGAACTTCTATAACACAGAAGTACCTTCAACTGGTTTTCTTGCTGCTTAACCCTCCAAGGGTTATGAAAGTGAAATTTTGTATTGAAGGATGGTTTTCCCATTCCACATGAAAATTTGTGCTAGATCCTTATCTATTCAAGTTGGAGGTATATTGCATGGAGTGGAGTCAAGATACAATATAAGAGGGACATTTGAGAATTATATTCAAGAAAATAACTCTTATTCATGATATTTTGGGAAACTTTGAAATTTCTTGGGTTAAACTGATAATGCTGAGAGTGCTATGAAATATGCTGAAAGAAATTTGTGCCAAGTGGTGTGGCTTTAATAGAAAAGAACCAAAAGTGTTTATAGTTTTATGGATATTGAGTATAGTATATTAGTTATTATATTTCCATTGTTTAAATATATTTTTGTATGAGTATCGAGTACATATGTCACTGATTAATTATATTTTAAGGCTCTTCCAATGGCTACTGTTGTTGTTGGACGACAAAGCTCAAGCAGAATGTGTCGCATAATTACAACTTGTCCTTATGTTGATGATCCCATTGAAGTTGAGTTTGAAATCCCTGATGATGAAAGTGGAAAATTGCTAACTCCTGGGAAACCCATGTGGACCAATTATGTCAAAGGAGTCGTAGCAAATTTTAAAGGTATGTATTTCTAAGCATTAGAAGAACAAGTATTTAAGGGGGGGGGAATAATTCTTATAAAATTTCTCACCAGGCATTTTTTAGAGTGAAAATAGAATACTGTAAATATGCATTGATATATTTTTAACTATATAAAATAAAATATCATTTTTTTAAATTTATCATATACAGTGCAAAGTCCAAAATCCAGACATCCAGTATCTGGAATAATCTAAAATCCAGATCTACAGATCACCAGCACCTTTTTTTGCCATCCTTTTGAGTCATCATTTATTATTTCTTGCTTTCATCACAGCTTGACTATCAACACACTGTAGCTTAAAAAATGATTCTCATGGCAATGTCTAAACAGTTTATTTATTATTATTTTTTTTATTTATTTAATACCAAAGAATATGGTAACACTTAGTAAGGTTGACACTTAAAATTTTTTTTTTTTTTTAATTTAATACCAAAGAATTACACTTTATGATGATTACAGACTTCAGCTAACTCAGTGTGTTGATGAGGAGAAATTTTACAGAAATTTCTTTCCATATGCAAAAAATAAATTTTGTAAATCAAACTCAGGGAAGAATTACATTTAGCGCTGTTTGAATTAAGTATGACTGATTATTATTCAGCTAAGCTCAGAACTGGTGCCAGAGCTGGTGTGGCTGCTCTGGGCAGCAAAAATTAGGGAAGCAAAACTTTTAGAATTTAATGATGCACCAAGCAACAAAATTAAGAGATTTTAGCATCTTTAGGAAAGGCTCTGGCATGCAAAATTTTTAGAGCTTAGTGTGATGCTTGGCTGCAGAATTTTGGACCCTTAAGAGACTGCAACAGGCTGTAAAATGTCTAGCACTGATCCTAGAAATCTTAAGTATATGTGGGAATAAATTTATTCAGGCCTTAGATAAGTCTTAAGCATATGTGGGCAACATAGCATAAGTATACTAAGTTATTAAACTAATACAGTTCAAGCTTAAAATCGTCCGCAGGCGATAAAAGCAAGAAAATATTTAGCAGAACAACATGTCTTCAGTCTTATGATACATCACCAATAGTGTGTGACAGATGCTGGTTAAGCTTTAGAATGATAGCAGTTGGAAGATCTAGACTGGTGATGGCACTTTTTTTTTTCTTTCCAGATTTCCAGACCCCTAATGGTAAAATCTAATGAAAAACTTATCTATCATACAAACTTAAGCCAAACAAATAGGTTTTCAGTAGAACATATTAAGAATAAGGCTAAGTTTGAAATAAAATACATAACAATCCTTGAGGTGTTAAATGTAAATAAATTGCTTTTTGTTACTTTTATAAACTTATTTTGATATCTTATTTTAGGTAAAATTGTGGGCTTTAATGCAGTGATATCAACAAATGTGCCAGTTGGTGGAGGACTTTCTAGTTCTGCAGCACTTGAAGTTGCAACATATACATTTTTGGAAGCACTTAACAACGAACCTTCATCTGTTGGGTAATGCAATTTCTAGTAGTTTCAAACAGGAAAATAAAAAGAGATTACAACATTTTTAAACTGAATTGTATATGCTTTTATAATCTTATCATCAATTGTATATTTATAGTCTTGTTGAAAAGGCCTTGGCATGTCAGAAAGCAGAACATGAATATTCAGGCACCCCATGTGGCATTATGGATCAGTTTATATCATTTATGGGTAAAAAAGATCATGCTTTGCTCTTAGACTGCAGGTATATGAAATTTTAATTTCTTTTAGAAATGTTTGTAAAACAATGTATATTTATGTGAAATACATATTGCACCTACTAAGTTTTAGGACTACTCTTTTAGCAATTTCCAAAAAAATCTATGAATTAATAAATTAATAGTATTTATTTACTGTGAAATATGGAGTTACTTCTTACTGACAATGTGCCATCACATAATTCATGTTTGTCAAGCAGTTATTAACCGCTTCCCTTACAAATTTTTTTGAAAAAAATTGCAAAAAATCATCACATTTTTTTATTTTATTATTAAATACAACAAAATGAAACAAATCAAAATATATAGGTTTTAAGTTGAATTTTTAATTTTTTGAATGTGTAAAAGCATTTATTTTTAATATTAGTTTACCATCCCGAGTTATCTCGGGCAAACGAAAAAAAGTTAAATATTAGTCTTTGTATGATAGTTTTTGAAACAAGAGGACAACACAAAATGATACCTGATGTTCTGCACTGGTATCTTGTCTCTTTTCTTACTGGCTTACCGCTGGAATCTCTTTCACGAGAGCACAGAGTGCATTGTCTCGTTGGATTTGATTTTTTCCCCCACCTCTTCATAATCACTATCTAAAAAATCATCGCTTTCGCTATCTTCCATCATCACCATTATTGTATTTTTTTCCAACGCATGCATCCTTCTTTATACATTACTAATCCACAAGCCAACGTATACTATACAATAGGGAAACATGCGACCAGTCCCTCCAAAAGAACCGCGCAACCAACAAAATTTGGCAAACTGCCAATCAAAGCTGAATATTTCCTTTCATTTTCTCCAGACCGAGTAAAACCATAATAAAAGAAATCGTACTAACAAATTCTGCTTCGCCCGAGTTTTCTTGGGATAATAATTAACTGCTATATATACGAACCAGAGATAACTTGGGATAATCAGGCAAGCGGTTAACAAAAATAATGTCAAAATTCTCAGCTGTCCTCCTTATTAACTACATTACTCCTTACTAACTACATTAATGCAGCCTTTCTGTTCCCTTAAATAAAGTCTCGCTTTAGAAATCATTCTAGTAGCACTTAAGTGATTCAGAAAGCCTAGTAAACAGTATTTCAGAAGATGAGTTCTACGAAGGAATCAAGCAGCTGTATGAATGTAACAATATAGTATAGACTTACAAGAATTGTTTGCATATTGAATGATAAGAAGTATTTTCCAAATTCTGATTTTATTACAGTATATGAAATTGTGTATTTTACAAAACTTATTTTATTGCAGATCCTTGGAATATGAGCTTCTGAGTTTAAATAATCCAGCAGTTGCTGTCTTGATAACAAATACTAATGTTAAGCACAAATTAACAGAGAGTCAGTATTCGAAGCGAAAGGCACAGTGTGAAACTGCAGCTCAACTTTTAGGTAAATCAAGCCTTAGAGATGTCACATTGATTGAACTGCAAAGTAAGATATTAATTTTTTCAATTTTTTCTAAAAAATTATTTTAGTTCTAAATCTGCTTAAGATATTTTCCTAAGCACAGTTGGAAGGGAGATCATGCAGATGATTTCCCCATTCTCAAGTTCAGAATTACTATATTTTATGCTATAGAAGTCTATCTAATCATACAAAATTGAATGCTTAAATTTTTTTTCCCCCTATGTTATAGCACTATTATATGGATCTCATTCTATGACTGAATTATCAGAAGCTTCACTTTCACTATCAGCATTCTAATTTTTTTTTTTTTTTTTTTCAGTTCAAAGAACTGAAATATGTTATTTTTAAAATTACATTAAAATTGTCTTGGCTTTAGTGCTTTCAAAAATTGAAAACGAGTTTATCAATTAGGAAAGATCATTGCTACACAAGCTATAGCTTAAGGCCCCACAAAAATTTACATATAGTATAACAATCTTATAAAGGGCCTCATATCTCAAATAGCTTAGAGCTTTATCAAGTCTAAATTCAGCTCTGGGAGAGATCATAATCGAAATCATCAAAAACAAGAATTTGGTCATCCTTCTTGATTTCTTTAACTTTAGTATCCAAGATGATTAACACATTGGCATTGGGCTAACATATAATAAAATTTTATTCTCCTGTCCTATTCATATTTGCCTGTAGATAATTTGATGTTTACCTGTAAGTAAACATGGAATTTCCATGGCATGATGCTTACTGCTTGGCTACCAATGTATGAAAATCTCTGTACCCATTGCATTAAAATATTATATCATTTGTGTATGCTATTATTTATTTAGTACACATATGACCTATTTTTGTATTTGCATGAACATTTTGTGTCGCATAAATAATTATTTTCATATTTGCAAGTTAACTTTAAAAAATTGATTAAATAATTTAATGAAATCTTTTTGGAAAAACAGAACATAAAGAAGTCCTAGGAAATGAACTTTATTGTCGAGCCCTGCATGTTGTTACAGAAATTCAACGTACAGTTGAAGCTGCAGAATCACTCCGAAAGGAAAATTACCATCACTTTGGATATCTCATGAAACTGAGTCATGAATCTCTGAGGTATTACATTTTATATTAATATTCTGATTAAAAATTTAATAAAAATGGAAATTTTATACAATGGAACCTTGCTTAACGAGCATAATTGGTTCTCGAATCTTACTTGTAATGCAAACATTCATTAAGCAAAATAATTTTTTCCATAGGAAACAGTGTAAATTAGGATGTGTTCCATTCAGGAAAATACGTAAACAAATTTATAATAATGTAATTCATTATTTATAATATATCCTTTTTTACAGAAAGTGGTCTAAAGACATTTGTTTTTGCCCATGCTTACCAAATTTGGCAAAAACGACACAGCATTATCGTTAAATAAATTTGTTAAGCACGTAACTACTCGCTTATTAGGGTGGCGCTTCTCAACTTACAATACAAATAATTTCTCTTGCTTTCAGCATCTTCTTTATTTTACTCGAAGGTTGTTGCTTTGCTGAGGCTGCTTCTAAGCCTCGCCACAACTTCATTCCTCTTCTCTAAAGTTTCACTCAGTGAAAACCTTCCCATGCTCTATTGATCACCTTGAGGCAAGCAACAATGAGAAAGTGGTCTTTTGAAAACTCTCTGAGAGTAAGATTGGTTTCTTAAATTACCTCAAAACAACATTCAAGGAACACTTTTGTGTAGAGCTTTTTAAATTTTGAAGTGGTGTGCTGGTTCATGGGTTGCAGCTAAGGAGTAGTGTTAGGAGGCAAAAATTGGATCTTGCTGAATTTAAATTCCTCAGGCAGGTAGATATCTTCTATGACTGAAGGATGTGCAGGAATGTTGTCCATAACAAACAAGACATGGCATAGAAAATTCATCTCATGTGGATATTTTTTTACAGATGGATCAAACACTTTATTAATCTGATCTGTAAAAATACATCACACGGGCCTTGTTGGATCTCCACAGGACATTTTAACGATATCATGCGCTTGTGGATTTTATACTTCTTGAATACTATACTTATGGATTGTCCAAATGGTAAACAAGCAGTGGTTTAGTTTTTCAAACTCATACTTGTGTTTGCAACAGCATAAAATAAGTCTTTTCATTGGCTTGTCATCTGGCAATGCCTTCTCCTCTGCTGTAACGTAAGTTCGCTTCAGCATCTTTTTCCAGAAGAGACCTGTTTCATCACAACTAAACATCTGTTGCAGTAAATAACCCCTCAGAATTCTCAAGCTTCTTGAACACACTGACAAAATTCTTAGTTGCCTTTATGTCGGAAATTGCTGCTTCTCCATGCTTCACAACACTGTGGATGTCGGTTCTTCTCTTAAACTTTCTGAATCACCTGCAGCTTGCATTGAATATTTCTTCTTTGTCTGTTGTTGATTTTGATGTCTTCTTAATCAGTTCAGCAAAAATTAGTTTTGCCTTCTACAAATGTTTTCATTAATAATGTTCTTGTTGATCCATATGAGAAACAGTCTTTCAACATTATTGAGAATGCAAAGCCATTGCATAAAAATTCTCCTGATGCCCTTTGAAGCATGAATCTCAATCTTATCCATGTTTCTGAGAAAAACGAAAATTTCTGATGTACACCGATTATATGCGAATGCTAGATCAACCATGTTCAATCTTATCAGTGGTTCGGTGTTTGACTTCTACAATGATTTTTTTTCTCTTGCCCATCGTCTAGTAGCATTTTCTTTGGGAAGCATGCTTAAACTTTGCACTAAAAACAGTATGCAATAATGTGTCTGAATCCAACTTGGTATGATGCTAATTGAATAAGCATTAAACACAAGTTGATAACAGCGATGCAGGCAAGATCCTGCATATGACATCACGATGTCTCCATGTCACTTCTTTTGTGAAATATTGCTCATTAACCAATTCACCATTTGCCCCGAGAGACATACATTCACAGGAAATGCATCGTCATCCGTTAGTAATGGCCGACTTGCGTCAGGGTGAAATTTGGGCTAGACCATAAGGCCCCAAGACACATACGTCGCAGCGTCTTTTTCCAGACCCCCAGAATGAGTCGAAAATGAAAAAAGTTACTTAGTCGTACTTATCTTCTCAGCGATATTGCATTAGGATCACAGCGGGGCTGTATCAGGAAAAGAAAGGATGGGGAATCACTTTCTCGAGTGGATACACCCTCAACACATCTCGTGAATTCCACAATAAATTCCTCCCTTTCATTAATGAACAAAGAGGTTTCAAGGTTTTAAATTTTTTTTCAATTCCTAATGATTCCCTGAGGATATAATCTGTTTATTATTTTCTGATCTATGAATTGCATTGAAATGTGAAATACTTGCATTTTATTTTATCACCTTACTTACACACATGGAAATATTATTAGCTTTAAGTTTCATTATCACTATGTTGTGCCAATTATGAATGACATTAGTGAAATGAAATTTTCAAAATTAATCTTTCAAAACTTTAATTATTAATTAATATTTTACATTTCAATTTATACTTTTATATTTTTTAAAAATCTGATTAATTGAGAAAACTACAGCTAAAGTCATATAGAAATATGTAAATAAGAATAAAGTTCTGGTATTTTACAATGTATAATTTGTTATGCATAGTTCCCGTTATTTATTTAATACTTACGTTAGACTTATGCTAACACTTAAAATTTAGTATTAAAAATTTAATGGATTTAAATTCTAATTACAAAATGGAAATACACGATTATATGTATTATTATATTTAAAATATATGAGTTATAATGCGAGTGCTTCATATTTTTAACCTACATATACCAAAACCTTGAAATAAACTTAGTATTTAGGTTCAACTAATCTAATTTTAAGGACACTGGAAAGTTTTTGTGAGGATAGTCTTGGAAGATACAATTCTTGAAACCATTTACTTTTATGAGGCTAAGAAAAAAGGAAATATTAACGGAATTGTAAAGATAGATGCAACAGTTACATATTTAAAAATTAGAAATGGTAAAAAATTTGCTGCTAAATTTTATTATGATTAATGTTGAATTTTCAGCCTAATTTAAAAAAAGAACTGGTACTTTGCATAATTCAAACTTTCTTTGCTGTAGGAAAAGTACAATAACCTAAAAAATCTCTTAAGTTGAATAATTGCAATTTTAAATCAGAACCTTAAATATCTAAGCTAAATGAAGATTTTTTTCATATAAAAATTAATTTAAAATTAAATATATAAAAATATATGGGAAATAATTCGATGATTAGTTTTGTTAGATTGCATCAAGAAAATAATAAAACAAAATTAAGGGTATTTCAAATAGGCAATACTAGCTAATGAAATCATTTTTATTCCAATGAACAAAGCTTTCTACTTGTCATTTGAAAATTTCATTTACATTGTAAGAAATTGCAATAGATTTGGGGTTCGTACAAGAAGTGAAGTCTAAAAGAAAAATATCTGAAGTGATACACCAGTCTTTGTGCTTACGGTCTTCATTAGGGAGTCCTTATTCAATATGCTTGAGTGTGACAAGTACGCTGTCAAGTTGATTTGAATAGATCTTCTAAAGAGAGCTTCACAGCTGGTGAAAAAGGGGAAAGAAATAGTCTGAGGCCAGTTTTGGACACAAAAAATTTATCTTTGCAGGAGAAAAATGTTCCGAATTTTTTGCGTTTCCCAGGACGGCGAACTGGTTAAAGGAGTAATTTTTTTTAACATCTTGTTTTTGCTTGCTGTGCAGATCACTTATTATGGGGGGTGTTCATTAAGCAAGGTTTGACTGTATTTTTGGTTTTACTTCTGCATCTTCCATTTTAATATTTGCCCACAAGTTATATTTCAATACTTTTATTACACTGCATTAAATCTGCCCATGTGTTTTTTTATTTTCTTATGGTTCAGTAACACTGCATCACCAAATGTTCATTGCATATTATTTTATTGTTATTGCTTAGTTTGTACTTTGTGTCCCTGAAAATATGGTTTATTCTGATTCTGAGCATGTTTTATCTATTTTATGGACGAAACGAGATGGAGTGTCAAGTGGCCAAAATTGAACAAAATGAATTAAGAGTTAAATCGAGAATTTAATGCAGCAGGAGTGGCAGAAACAATTTATATTGTATCATTGCTGAACTAATGGCGATACTGAAAATATGGCAAGGAAATGATTGTCTCAGTTTTGGGAAAAGTGGACTTAATTGACTATTCACATTTAAGAAGTCTGTCAGATTTTTGTCAAAGATTATGTAAATCTTCATAAGAATTCTCATCAAACAAAGCAGGAGTTGGTATAACTTATATAATATGATCACTCAGCCATTTGCATTTTACAGGTAAGATGTCCAGAATAAAATACTACAGAGCCAACTGTCATAGTCTTGGGCCCAGGTCTGAATCCTAGAAAAGGGTATGAATGTTTGTAAGTGAATAATGTCTTTGTGGCATGGGTGTGCTTAAAATCCTCCTGAGAGGTTGGTTGAAGAGTAAGAGATGTGGGAAACCCATGACAGAATTTCCTTCAAAATTGGGCAAATTCATATGACCACATGTATGGAGCCCAAGGTCAATGGCATACACATCTCTTAGCTCTTGACCATGATCTAATGTTACTACCAGTTAAAAGACACAAGTAATAACAATAACTTACTCACTATGAACTTATGCATCTACCCATTAATTTTTTGGTATCTTAAGCCAGTGACTATTACTTGTATTAGTGGATCCCAATCAATTTTTTAATTCAAATTTTTATGACATTCAGAGACAATTATGAAGTTTCATGCCCAGAACTCGACAAAGTTATGGAAGCAGCTTTAGAAATTGATGGTGTTTTTGGATCAAGAATGACAGGAGGAGGATTTGGTGGATGCACAGTAACATTGCTAACAACTGATGCCATCGATAAAACAATGCAAAATATTAAGGTAATTATATATTTCTTTCAATACTTTTAAAGATGCAAAATATTAAATTAATTGCATCTTTTAATGTTTTAACATAGAAATTCAATTGCAATTTACTTTTTGTGGCCAAAGTCTGAATACTTCAAATTTTGTTTTATAGATTTTAATGTTAACACATACTTTAAAACTTTTTTGACAGGAGAAATATGAAAAGACCCCTACATTCTATGTCTGCAGACCAGGTGATGGAGCTCGTACAATTAAACTGCCATGATTATAAAAGAATTTCCTATTCATTTTACAAATAATCTAATGATAATTTATTATATTTTCTTATGCAATTTTTTTTTATACTGTGTCCCATGAACCTCAAAAACTTTCATAAAGGAAAAAATAATTAATTTGTACAGCTTTAGATGAAATATTTGTTGTAAAAATTTTAGATATGGCAAAAACAAAACAAACAAAAAAAAAAAAAAAAAAAAAAAAAAAAGTTACTGGGCAAAAATTTGCTCAAAATATAGAATTTTGCCAAACACATAATTCTGATCATAATGTGTATAGATTTTAATACATTGAAATGTATTGAACATGTTAACTGCCATGCGAGTTTAAGAAAATCTCCATCAGGCCATGAGTGTTGTTATACCGTATGGCAATTGTTTCTAATTATAGCAAATGATAAGTACTTTCAGAAAGAAATATTTCAGGACATGACATTCATTTTATTCTTCAAGAATGAAGTATATAAGAAAGTGTGCAAGATTAAAAAATTGTTTTCTTTTTCAATTTTTTTTTTTTTTTTTTTGTAGTAAGGAATGGTTAAAATTGTTTCCTTAATTTTTTGGATTGTTGAAAAGAAAAATGAAAGTTATTTCTTCGTGAATCATATATAACAGTGAAGAAGTCTGTTACAAGGCTTAGAAAAATTCATGTAATAATGATAAGGAAAGCTGGGAGTTTTCAGAAAAAAAATATAAATAGAATTACATCATCAGATTCTGATAAATGCAGACATACTGAATGTGATGTAGCATTGAACATATTTTACTAAATTCGTTGCTGAGGAAGAAAGAAAAGTTATACCCAAGAAAGTGAAATTCAGTTTAGAATGAATTTACTTATCGCCAACAATATTTTTTTTTTTCTTTCTTTCATCATTCAACAAAGATTTTTCAAATACCTACAAACTTACCTTATACTGAAATAAGTCTTCCCTGAATATGAATGATGCAGTTCGATTACAGTTTTTGCCGTCAGCCAAATATAGGTGACACAGTAGTCAATATTCTAAAGAAAATCAGCTAATAATGCTTAAATAATAATATCCCAGTAATTTATTTAAGTACAAAATACTAAACATGTATTAATAATCTCAATATGTGTAAAAAAAAATAAAATAAAAACTTCATTAAAAAAAAGGGGATTTTACTTTCTTGAAAAGTTATTTTTTGTAGTACATGCTATTTCACTTTATCTTGATCAGATTCCAAGTCAGGACTTGGACTTTTATCATGGCCAAGGAAATGGCCTGTCATTAGCCAAGACCTTGAAACCCTTATAGGTGACAATAAAGTTCTTAATATAATTCTGTTTTAACTTTAGTTGTGAATAAACACTGAGTGAGACAGAATCCTAGATCTCCAATTATCAGCCTCTCAAGCAATATGGTACTTTGATTGCACTTCTTACATCTATCTGTGCCTTCTTAAAGGATTCAAACTCGAGCTCATTGATATAGAAGCTGGTAATTGTTAGGAATTAAACTAATCAGGGTGGCCCTGCAGTACATATGTTTGTCATATATTATTTGATAAGAAGAAAAATATATATACAGAAATCACATTCAATATGTTATCTGAACATGATGTCCTTATTGATGGATTAGTTAAGTAATAAGTAATTCAAAATGATTCTGTGTTGTATTCTTGAACTTCCATGATATACAAATATGAAATTTTGTTATATTTTTTATTTTTGAGATGTCAGAGATATATTACTGCCTCTTCTCTTACTAGCCATATTTGGCAATGAATGACATGACATATTTTTGTATTATAAGAACACCTTTCTTGCTAAGTAAAACTTTCTAAAAAAAAAAAAAAAAAATGTATATCATCATTAGCCAGGAATTTATTATATAATATTCTCATATCCTCTTAGACAGCTTCAGTTGACTTTATATTTTGTTATAAAAATATGAAACTTAAAATTCACTATAGATAATTTAATAAGTTTATATGGAAAGTGTTGGCAAATCTGTTTTCTGCATGGAAGTAATTCTATTAAATTGCAATATTTAATTCCTCTTCTGTTTATTAATAAGGATAATTTGAAGGTGATAATTTGTTATAAGATTGTTTGTTATTGTAAATATATGTCATTAATTACTAGTCTGATGAATATTTTATATACATGCAAAGCATAATTGTCATACCAAATTATCTATGTATGCTCAGAAAACTGTTGTCTTATAAGCTATCCATAAATGAAAAAAAGCAAATACCTGAACTATTTTCAAAACTTATTCAATGTGCTACAAATATGTATCATATGATGAAAAATATAAATAGAAAATTAGATATTTTGTACATTTTTGTAAAGCAAAACTTTTTTCTAGTCACGTATTTTTAAATCCAAGTGTTATCTAATTGTGAAAAGTATTTTGTAACATTTTTCAAATAAAAAGACATTTTTGTTTAAAATATAAATACTTGAAAATATTGTATTAAACTCTTAGTTATTCAAGCTGCACAGTAGCCATGACATAGCATTGATATATGGAGGATTAGCATCTTGTATTTATGTATGTCAAGCAATATTGCATAGAAAAAAAATTGTCATCTTTCATGTTCAAGCCAATATTTCTCCTCTCAATTGCCAACTTAATTCTCGGCCTTTTAACTGTAATTTCATGAACTGAAACTTCAAATGACTGAAAGATAATTAAATTATCTTTAGTCTTTTTAATTAGCAATTAAATACGAGGGTTAGGGCAAAAGTCATGGCAACTATTTTTTTCTTGTAGATACGTGAACGGATCACAAAACTTATATGTGTAGTGTGGAAGTTCTGCAGGCATAGTGTGTATGCAGAACAGATGGCTTTGTGATAGCTGGCTCTGAAATCAGTTAGTTGGTGAGTGCCGTGCGAGATGGAGGTATTCGTATTGAGCAGCACGCTTACATCAAAATAGCCATTTTCAGCGGGAGAAATGCGATGGAATGTCACAGTGAATTAGTAGAAGCAATTGGGAATAATGCCCTACCCATATTGCACAGTAGCACGGTGGGTAGGAAAGTTTCGGCAAGGTCATGTGTCAACCAGTGGTGAGCAACATTCAGGACGACCGGTGAATGTGCAGACCGACTTGGCACAGGCCGTCATCGAGCACCTCATGGATGAAGACAGACGATGGGCATTACTGGAGTTAGAGAGGGCGAGTGGCATCGAGAAACGCACTGTCCACAGGATATGGCGTAATGAGCTAGCATCAGAATCTTTCCCCAGTCAAATTGATGGTGATCACCGCGGTATGCCGTCGGGTGTCATTGTTTGCCACTTTGTTCCTCATGGCAGAACAGTGACCGCACAGTACTACAGGGATTTCCCGGTGCGACAGGAACGACGTGGCATTCGGGATAAACATCCGGATCTTGTGGACAGTGCAATAATTCTGCACGACAATGCAAGACCACATAAAGCAGTGTGTGTACGGCAGCTACTCCAACGTTGGAGATGGGAAGAATTGAAGCACCCACCGTGCTCTCCTGACCTTTCGCCCTGTGACTTTGATCTTATTCCCAAGGTTAAGGAACCAATATGTGGTAGGCAGTTTGCAATACGAGAGGACATTGCTAATGATGTGCGCCAACAGATGATCCGATTCACACGTGGTGCGGCAAACTCTGAGGCTGATGGTATTCAGCGCCTCCCACATCCTTGGCAGTGTGTAGTGACACTAGCAGGGAACTACATTGAGAGTTTTTAGGTCCAGGTTTGTCATGTCAACTTTATGTGTATTGTGTTATTCTTTTGCACGGTGAAGGCTATATTGCCCTGTATACTACCGTAATAAATTCGTGTGTTACAATATTTCAGTACTATTCATTGTCCACACATGTAGTTAAGACCTTGTCCTTTCGTCTGTATATGTCACATTTTTCAACCGGACTGGTATCTTCAAGGAAAAAAACAGTTGCCATGACTTTTGCCCCAATCTACGTATTATAGTAATTCTGGGCACTTTTCCATTAAAGCCACACTATATATTTTCAACACTATGTTGGCACATTTTGAGCTTGATGTCTCTCTTTTTATTTTTGTACAGTTTTTTTCACTTCTTAATAAATTTCTCTTGGTTTCATCTCTGAAACCCTCTTAAAAAAGCATAAAAAACAGAAAGCATAAAAAAAAAAAAACAAATCTGAAATGTTTCAGATTTTAAATTACGTCCAAAGGGGCGTTTTTTAACATTTTGTGTGTTACCTTTCTTTATTAAATATCATGTTCCTCGCATGCATAAGATCCAGTGCAACAGCAATATTGCAAAATAGTTTTAAAACGAGCATATCTTTAGAATTTCCGATACAGAGACTCACGCGCTGGAGATAAAATGTTTTTTCTGCACAACGTTGCCATTGCTCTCGCTTTGAAATACTTGAGTTTTAATCAAAAATTTTTCGTCAAAGTTTTAAAAAATAGGAAATCGATCATAAAACAAATTTCAAATTTGGTCTTCCACATGCTCATATTCATATTCGTTGGAGGATTACGTTATTCAAAAATCGATGACTCTATGTACCGTTATTTTATGACAATGTGAGAAATATACATACATTTACGCAGATTTTCATTATTTAATTTCTTCAAATATAATGCAGGACTCTAACATTTTGTGGCAAGTGAACCGACGTTTATGAGTCCGACGCAAAATGCCAAAACGAAAGCAATAGTCCTTCGGGACTGAAATCCCTTTGGACTAATAAAAAATGGCATTCAGCATAGCAGAAAACATTTCTCTTTTGAAATGCCACTTAAGTTCAAATTAAAAAAAAACTGCTAAATGTTAGCAAGCAATCCCTCTTTTGTATTTATTGAGCCATTTTACACTACCCCCAGAAGTATTTAACAAACCAAGTATGACATTGAGAATCTGAATCAGCAAAAACATATAAATACTTCAAAATACTCGAAATCTCAAGTGGCATTTGTTGCTGAAAAGAAAAACTGATTAAATGAAAAAATATGGTTGTGTAAATGATGGTGATAAAGACAATCATGATTAGGAAAAAAGCGAAACTAAACTGGCAATGCTTAGTGCAGCAGAAATACATCAACAGGAAAAAAAAAAAAAAAAAAAAAAAAAAAAAAGATGCCACATGCTATGGCTTTGCTGGAAAAGAACTAAATTCTCTTTCTTTCCAAGAACAGGACTCCTTTCAGAGTAAAGTTTTTGCTTGGAGACAAGAAAATTTAATGACCAAAGAATATTTTGTGAAGAAAATAAGATTATAACCTAAATTGCAATGATTCTTTTACTGAGTATTACAAATAGTAAAAATATGTCCAAATCATACTCCTCAAATGTTAGTGGTTATTTGACCTTAAGCATTAAATGTCTGCTCTTGCTTATGTTATTATTTACAATAAGTTAAGTCTAAAATTTCAAAGACCAAAGTACTTATGTATATAGTGTTTTGATTTTTATATCTAGAAGGTTTTCTTAATTTTATGAAAAATAATGTGATATATTAGTCAAAGAAAACCTCTTAATAAGTCATATTTTTATACATTTAACCAAATTCAACTTAAAAAAAATTGTTGAATATACTAGTATATTATTATTAATATTTCCCGGAAAATAACATCACTTGTATGAATGACCAGTGTATTTTTGATTTATTCTGATTCTTTATTCAGTTATTTGTGATATTACGGCTTGCAGTTTTGCTTACTAAAAATAATAATAATGCTACTTATCTAATTCCATAATAACGCTTGCATTATATTGGAACTAGGGTGCATTAATTAGTTCAGTATTTTATGCATTTTTACGTATTGTAATTTTCAAACTCTTTAATTCTCTTTTATTAATCAAGATATCCTTAAATACACTTAAAAAACACTAGGTCAAATATACAATTCTGACTATGTGATCAAATATTTTAGACTTCATTGTTTTTTATTAGTACTTAAAATTATATATTTTTTAAATATGTTTTGCTTGTATCTGAGTGGAAAAAGTCAAATAAAAAGTTTTTATTTCCTTATAACTGGAATGGTTTATTTTATAGTAAACACTTAAGACATATGTAAGGAAGGAAATGTAAACAGAATTAAAGAAATTATAAAAAGATCTACACAGTAGATCAAATTCCACAAAAACATCAAAAATACATTTACTGAATGCTTAAAATTTCAATTTCAAATTGTAAATCTGCATTGGGATGAATTCCCCAAGCAGGAAAACCTTGGCTTCCATAGCCCTTGTCTGATCGAATTGATATTCTCGCAATTTCACCTTGCTGCATAGTGAGACATGCTTCATCCCATCCTATAAAAAATGGCAATATGTTAGAAAAAGTTTTGTTTTCAAATTTGGAGAGTAATACATTCCAAAACTTTCAGTTGGCTTGATAATCCAAATTTCCTCCAATCAGATTGATATTTGTTAATAAACTATCATTTCATCATTACTTTTCTGTAATTTTCTAACCATTTTATCTATTACCCAATGCCAGTTTAACCCTCTGAGCGGCTAGGGTTTTTGCTAAGAAAGCACAAATTTCCCAAAACTACTATGAGAACAAATTCTTTTTTATTTTAATGCAAAAACTCTTCTGGTATTTCATACCTGGATTTGTTTCCTTTTGATATATTGCCTTAACATCTTTGACATATTTTAATATGCACATATATACTTCTTACAGATATCACAAAATACGGCATTGCCACTTAGAGGGTTAAGGATTTAAAGGATTCATAGCACAAGCATGGGGCTCATATTATTATTTCAAGTATCAGTCATCCTTATTTATACACACAGTTTTATGTGAATAAAAAAAAATCAGATTTTTAAAAAATAATTACAGCAAACACTCCAGCGTACTTGGCACTTAAGTAATAGCAAATTATCAATTTAAGTTAATGTTTTCTTTATATTTTTATAAATTTTTGAAACATTCTAAATACAGTAAAAGAAATAAACCATATATAAATGGAAAATTGTTAACAAAAGGTAGGCTAAAAATAGCAAAAGCATCACTGCTAAACACTGCACAGTGACAATATTTTAAAGTAATACCAAACTGACTTAAATTCCCTTTATAATGCATGGTTCAGGTTACTGAATTATTCATAATTCAATTTTGATATAAAATATATTAGCCTTAATTGGATATTCTAAATGTTATGTTCTTTTTTTTTTTTTTTTTTTTTAAGTTTTCTTACACTTTTAAACTGAGAAAATTCTGAGTATTAAAGGAAAGCTTTTGAAAACATAATTAATAATTTATGTACATAATATTTGTGCAGATAAACTTAGTAATGACCATATACTGAAGTAAACAAAATTAAATACAAATGTTAACTAATTAAACATTCCTTTAATCATCACATAAACAATCTACAAATATCTACATAGCTTAAGACAACTTGGATCAAACGGAATTTAATAAAGCAAAGATAAATGAAATGTTGGGGGGAAAAATCAGATGAAATAAAATTTAGTAAAATTTATTCTGAAAATAATTAAGAGGTAAGGAAATGGAATTTGCTTAATTTAATTAATTCAATACACTTCATTTGCTGAGGAACATCTTCCTTGATAAAGGCTAAAAATTACAAACTGAGAGATTTGGTGACCCACCAGAAGATGTGATGGAAACTCCCGAAAGTTGGCAGCTATGCAGAATGATTGCCTAGCCTTTTCCACACATTATCAAAGGAAATGCTAGTAGAACCTATCCTTATGGCAGGAATACATGAGGAGTGCCAGATTACTGGATGTACAAAATGAGTGGATGCTAAAATTATTGTACTCTTTCCTAACTCAAATTTAGAAATCCCAAATACTTTCTGATTATCAGCACTCCAAGGAAAGATGCCACATCGTTGGTGAAAAATGTTCATTTGGCTACAGCTCATAGGTATTGTTTTGTTCATAAATAATAATAAAATGAAGCATTTTATAAGAAACAGATTTTACAAGGAAAACAAAATCTATATGACTATTATGAAAGCAAAATCTGTATTTACATTTTTACAACCAGTGGATACTGAACAGTGAAATGTCTAGATATACTGTCATCTCTCATTCGTATAAGACACTTTTTTCAACAAAAATAAATAAAAAATCAGGGATGCAGCATACCGTATTTACGCGAATCTAATGCGCATCGTTTTTGGCCAAATTTAGTACTCAAAATTGGGGTGTGCATTAGATTCGAGTGCAAAGTTCGCCGATGACGTCAACCGAATTTAAATCGCAACAATGGATTACTGTATTTCTCGACTACATTTACCGTTGACACATTATTGCATACTGCAGAGTACGTAGTCACAAAATGGAGGGCAAGCAGAGAAGAATGTCATATGACGCTACTTTCAAACGTAAAGTAATTCTTTATCCTGAAAGAAATGGCAATAGAAAGGCTGGGAGAGAGTTCAACGTAGCTGAGAGCAATGTTCGCTTGTGGCGGCAACACAAATTGGCACTGTTTGCAACTAAAACTAGTAGAAAGAAATTCACCGGCCCTCGCAAAGGAAGACACCCTAAAATCGAAGAAAAAGTTTTGGAATTTGTACGTGAAAGGAGGAAGAATGGACAACCTGTGACTAGCGACACTATAAGAAATAAAGCAAAAGAGGAGGCTGAAGTTCTTGGAATACCGAAACGACAGTTTAAAGCTAGCCGTCGATGGGTGGATTGGTTTATGAAGCGGATGGGCTTATTTCTAAGACGCCGTACAACAATGCCAAAAAGCTTCCTGCAGATTTTGAGGGAAAACTACTAACATTTTAGCGGTATGTCATCACACTTCAGAAGGAAAAGAATTTTTCAATGGGGCAAATTGGCAACGCTGACGAGACGCCAATTTGGTTTGATATGCCTCGTAACTACACCATTACGGAGAAGGGGACTAAAAAAGTTATCATCAAAATAGTGAATAAAGATGTTTACTATTAATCACTGATTGTAGAAACTGTTAGCTAGATAGAAATGTTACCATTTATTTCATGTTCATACTTTATGATATGTACCGTATATACGGTAGTGGTAATTAACAATGATTGTTTCACATAACAATAGCCCACTAATAGGTTAATTCTATGTTCTGTTACTTTATGTATAAATCCATTGTTGTATAAAATATGGTATCTAAATTTAAATAAAATTATCATACCATTGATTGATAGTTTATATACAAATCCATTGTTGTATAAAATAAGATTCAATAAATTCCTCATACCATTGATGCGCATTACATTCGCCGACAAACAATTTTTTTATTATTTAAAGGTTTAAAATGGGGATGCGCATTAGATTCGATGGTGCATTAGATTCGCATAAATACGGTATATAAGTGAAGGATTAAAAATAGATACATGCAAACATGGGGCAATACAGTAGTGCATGCGACTGAGTATAAAATCCATTGTTGTTCTATGAGCATTACACAGGTGTGTATTTGGTGTATTTAATTATGGCAAAGCACACGAGGGGTATCTGCCTAAGGGGAGTGATGCCTTTGTGGAGGACTTTCTAAGGTAAAATTGGCTCGTATACACATTACACATGGGGAAAACCATGAAAACGCCCATGCAGCCAGCCCTTTAGCGGGATCCGAACCTCGGACCGAACTACCAGAGTTCAGCGGCTTTACCGCTTGGCCGCCGGTCGGCTGAGCCTTACACAGGATTGTAAGTTTAGTTGTGGTTGCTGGTTGTTCGAAGGAAAATGTCCAGCAAACGATTTAACTACAATGCATATTTTAAAAAGTAACTGAACACAGGAACATGTTCTTTTTTACCAATAATAAAAATTCTATCTCTGTTTGAGGTAAGTACTGTTTTTATACTTCCAAATGAAAAAAATATTATATATGGTACACAAGGTATTCACACCTAATACTTATATTTACTATTATTATTATTAGAGGTTAAAACTCAGGCTATGATGTATACACACATTCTTGAATCTAGTAATGCATGTAAATTCACTTGTACTCAAACATGCATAACTTGGTAACTTCAGTTATCCACATTGTTGCGAAATGCCCAACTGCGGTAAGATAGCTTACCCACTAAGTGGCTTTAGGATTGCTCAGAAAGTGGGCAGGAAAAGCAACATTACCAAATTTGGTGACAAAATTGGCAATATGCCATAGACGGAGCGAGAAAGTTCTAGAATGCATTCTTACCGGTTTTCTTGAGAATATCCTCGAAGCTAGGTTAAAAGCTATACAGTCAAAAGTCTTTAATCCGGACCTCAAAGCTACAAACTTTCTGCGCAAGCGTTAACGCATGCGCATAATACCTTTACGCATGCGCATTTAACGTATAATGGACTGTATAGGCTAAAATTATCTATTTCAGTTAATGTTGCAGATTCCGTTGTTCCTTAATCCTCGAATTGGATCCGGCTTATTATTATTGTTAGAGCAATTTTATAAAAAGTAAGCTTGAACTTTCGATTGTGTCAAAAAGAGTTTTTAATTCTGGAGCTGCCAAAGGATCTACAAAACGAAATCATGTTTCGATGTGCATTAAACAAAAAGTGGAATTGCTTCAAAAAATGGATAAAGGCATGAAGAAAGTGACAGAGAGGTGATTTGTTTCTCTAATCATTCTGAAATCTGTTTATATAAACTATCAATCAATGGTATCAATTTCACGCTGCTCTGCCGAGAGGGGGGGGAGGCGTCGCGGCGCTAAATGAACTCAAGTTGCTCTGTCAGCATATCCTTATCTTCAGGGCATATGTTTTTATTTTATTTGGCTTATAATTCCTCACTAAATGCAGTATTTCATCTCGATGTACTTCGTCTTTTTAATCAAATTCATCGTCATTATAAATATCACGAATACACATAAAATAGTTTTTTGGTTGCACTTTTTTAATTTTGACTATGCGTAATGTTTGCTTTACGCATGCGAGCGTTTAAAAAAATGTTTAATAAAGTAAACAAATAAATATTAAGTTTTTTTTTTTTTTTTTTTTTTTTGTAAATCTTGGTACCCTTTAGATCATAATTGCTCTTTATTTCATAAATTACGGTTTCATATTTTTAATTTTATAATTTCTGCATGCCATCTTACCAGATTTCAATTGATGATCTATAATCCAGAAAAACCGATAATCCGGAATAACCAAAGTCCCGACGAGTCTGGATTAAAGTCTTTTGACTGTATATACCCTGCATGTACACAGACTATGGTGAGTTCAGTAGCAGTGTCTTGAATTCAGAGATTAGCTTGAGGATGATCAAGTGAGTTGAGAGCTTTCTTTATTTCTTTGCCATGAAGCTGTCTTTAGCATTATAACCTAAAGGC